ATAAAGTCACTGACAACACTAAAATATCGAGTAAGGAAGGAACTGTTATCCCTAGGGGAAGTACACAGTTGAGTTCCTGCAAACCTCTGGTTGCAATGCTTTCATCAGTTAATCAATATATAACCTTGCTCTATGTGTGTTTTGGCTTTAAAATACTTTATTTAATGTATATAGTTGATGCATTAACCTTGAACTTAGAACCAATAGCAGTGTAATTCATGCCTAAATGAAACTTACCTGATAGGTATTTTCTCTGTAAGGCACATCACTTCTTCCACTGGGGAACACTAGCCAATGCTTTAGTGCTGTTCTTAGGGGCCATTTTAAACAACAAAACCACCTACAAAAATTTAGAAAACATGGCTCTAAATAGATCACGAAAAGAACTTTTGCATGCAGATGACTGGGTTTTCACCAATGTATATGTTTGCAAATGACTGTGAAAGCACCTAGAATATTGATTTGGGGAGTAGAAATTAAATTTTAGAGAGTAGGTGGATTTGCAAACACAGAATCCATGAATAATGATGATAGACTGTGCCCACCTGGTCTCTCAAATTCCTGAGCCATTATGAGACACAATTCTTGTTGGCATCTCTCTTAGGCATTTTCAGCTTTCAGTTTTCTCATTTTCACCAACTCATTTACCATTTGATTCACTTCTCATTTTCCAAAAACCTGTTGACATCTTTCATTCCATGTGTTACTGTCTCTGCTCCCATTTGTTTTGTCTTGTGTCTCTATACCTTTCCTGTAATTTTTGTGGAGTTTCCTGAGAGATTACAGATAAATATTTATGTTTAATCAACAAATTCTTAACCAGAATTTTATTTCATACACAACACCTTTAGTCAAGTGTGACACATATAATAGGTTTACTAAGTACTGGTTGAACAAATTAAAGAAGTGCTATTTTTATGCACAAGTGTAGCTCTGCTAGATAATACCTTACAATAGGGTTTTTAATATCTCATAATCTACTAGTTAAGAGACTACCTCTCTTTCTCCTTACTTCTGCTAAACTTTTTTACTTAGTGGAACATTGCCTGAAGAAGGTGAGGGCAGGGGTTTAAAATATAACATGAGTTTGGAAAACATATCTTGTTTTAAAACATATTTCTGAGGTGCCTGGGTGGCTGAGTCAGTTGGGCATCTGACTCTTGGTTTCATGGTCTCAGGGTCCTGGGATCGAGTCCTGTGTTGAGCTCAGAGCTCAGAACCAAGTGTCCTTGTTCTTCTCCCTCCCCCTCCGCCACTCTCTCCCATTTGCACGCATTGTCTCTCTCTCAAATAAAATCTTTAAAAAAACCAAAAAACCCTTATGTTCCTTTACCTTTGCATCGTAATCTCTTCCTTCGTCTGTTTATGTCCTTTATGATTTTGTTCATTATAAAAGAATGTAGAATTATAGTGCTCACAGGAATCCCAGAAATCATGTAATTTAAACTTTCGATTTGTAGGGAACTGAAGGTCAAGACTGCCTTGGCTCCTTTCTTGGCTCCACCACTAACGTTGGACAGGTTTCTCAATTGTTTTGGCCTCGGTTTCCTCCTCTGTAAAATGGGAATAAAAATACTATCAGTGTTTTAGGATTGTTGTGAAGATCCAAGGAGGTGATTAAAGTTCCCAGTACAGTGCCTGACACACCGTAAGAGCTCCACATATTATTAATCATCATTATCATAATAAACTGCTAAATAAGAAGCTTAGGGAAATAAGTGGCTTAGTTTGGGCTTTACACATAAAGAAGAATTACAAACCTCTTTTCCAAGTTAGCTACTATTATTTTCTTCCCTTCATCTCCTTCTTCATTTAAAGCTAATCACATGATTACACGTTTCTCTTTTCCAGTTAAAGATATTCTCAGCATTTCATCCATTACCACATTTGTAAGGATTTCCCAATAGAAAATTTAAAATTTAGTTGTTCCTTTTAATTGTTTATGACACTTTCTGATGGTATTTTTCCTGTAAAGTTGAGTAGTCTCACAGAAGCTGATTCTTTCCAGTTACCATAATGCACCTCACTTCCCAGCATAAATGGGTTGAGTGCCACCCTGGCTTGGGTTTTGCTTAAAAGCAAAGAGAAATCTCCCAGACAACCAGAGAGGAAATATTCACACATCTCTATGCAGATAAATTTCAAAGTCCCCTCTCTGTCTTGACTTGTGCTGTAGGGGACAGAACACCTTTGATGGGGAGCTTTTGAAACCAGCAGGACATCTGGACACCACAGGAAGGTGAGTGCCACATTCCTTTAGAGGAGTCTGAGAACTCAAACCCTTGCAAATTAGGCCTTTTTTTTTCTATTATGTGAGGGTCTTTTTCTGCTTTCTTCAGTGAAATTATGGGTCAGGACCCACCATGTGAATTACTCCTTAGTTAGACTGGTCTTTGCTAATTATGGGGAATCTAATCTTTTGGAGTTAATATTTTAAACTGTTGGGGTAAGGGTGGGGAATTATGGGGGTCAAAGTTCAGGGGATGGTGAAAATATGTGAATATATATAATGGATATCTTTCTGGAAACTCTAGAGAAAATTAGATCTAGGAGCTTCAAAAGAAGATCCTTTTTGTGTACTGGTGTTTTGTGGCAGGAGGGCTGAGGGACAGTAAATTGCTAAAAGCTACTGTTTGATTTTGGTAGAAAGAGTCTAGGCTTTGGAATAAGACAGTCATGGGCTTGAATCCCAGCTATGCCAAAAATGATTTTTGGACTGATTACATAATATCTCTGAGCCTCAACTTCCATATTTGTAAAGTGGAGATAATACAAGTCCACAGGGATTTTTAGAAGGGCAAGCTACGGGGAGCCTGGGTGGTGCAGTCAGTTAAGCGTCTGCCTTCAGCTCAGGTCAGGATCCCAGGGTCCTGGGATCAAGCCTGCTTCTCCCTCTCCCCCTGCCCCTCCCCCTTGCTTGTGTACTCTCTCTCCCTCTCAAATAAATAAAAATTTTTTTTTTTAAAAAAGGGCAAGATATTTTTATAATGTAATCAGCACTTTGTAGACTCTCACTATCACATCACGATTATGTTTTTGCCCGTCTTGCTGCTGGCATCTCAAAATGTTCTTTGTGTGAAGGCATCCTGCACCTCAAGTGGGTTTTATAGACTTTGAAACTGAATGTTGTTCTTTGACATCTTTTTAAATTTATATATAATTACATATAACATATTAGTTTTAGGTGTACACCCTAATGATTTGATATTTATATATATTATGAAATAATCACCACAATAAGTCTAGTTAACTTCCATTACTATACATAGTTAAGGAATGTAGTGGGACTGAATGAGGCTGGGCAACTTGCTGCTTGCTTCCTCCTTCCCATCGGTAGAGTTCACATGTTCTTAATTAAATTTATGGCCAGAGTGCTGTACCTAGAATTTATTCCTTCTTTGCCCATCCTTTAAAAACCCGATTCCATGCTATGCACAGTTCCTGGCACAGAATGTGTATCAATATACGTTAGTTAGGTGAATGTATGGATGAATGAATGAATGAATGAAAGTAGGACCAGCCCTGGGAAAAAATCACATAGTGGTACATTTTTGTACAAGTGTATTCAGATGAAACTTTGCATCTAGGATGCAGCCTTGAGTGGGAATTACTGAACTGCCAAAGGACAGCTTGTGTGTGTTGGGGTGAGGGGAGTGGGTGGGTGTAATGGGGGACTGCTACAGAGTAGAACACCCACACTATTTCCTTTGCTTTGGTCTATGAGACAGGATGTGGGAAGGCAGGGATAATTTAACATGCTAACATTTTAGCAGAAACTGGCAGAGGAAGCATCTTCTCCTTTGTTTCCTGCTTCTTGTCTTGTCCCCAGGCACTGTGCATAGTGCGCAGTAATTGCTAGGATGTGTTTTCAGTCCTTCTTCTCGTAAAGAGAAGATAGGACTTACCTTTAAAGATAAGATACCACAGGTTACTTAAGTGGCATCACTATATATTCTAAGAGTCCTTTAGTCCAATGTGGAATATTCATAGTGTTGTTTGAGAATTCTGGGTCTCCATTAAATGCTGTATTCTAATGAGGTCCCACTAATGAGAAATTGTATATTTCTAGGAAGTGACCTTTTATTGAAGACAGTTCTTCAAAGCATTTAGAAGTTAGGGTTGATGACCTGGGGAATGCAGAATATGGTTTTTTCTCCAGAGCATGGCATAATCTTTTTTTAAAAATTTATTTACTTTTTTTGATATAGTGTTCCATGATTCATTGTTTGTGTATAACACCCAGGGCTCCATTAAATACGTGCCCTCTTTAATACCCATCACCAGGCTAACCCATCCCCCCACCCTCTCCCCTCTAGAACCCTCAGTTTGTTTCTCAGGGTCCACAGTCTCTCATGGTTCATCTCCCTCTTCAATTTCCCCCCCTTCATTTTTCCCTTCCTATCTTACTATCTTCGTCTTCTTTTTTTTTTTTTAAACATATAATGTATTATTTGTTTCAGAGGTACAGGTCTGTGATTCATCAGTCTTACACAATTCACAGTGCTTACCACAGCACATACCCTCTCCAGTGTCTATCACCCAGCCACTCCATCCCTCCCACCCCGCACCACTCCAGCAACCCTCAGTTTGTTTCCTGAGATTAAGAATTCCTCATATCAGTGAGATCATATGATACATGTCTTTTTTCTGATTGACTTATTTCACTTAGCATAATACCCTCTAGTTCCATCCATGTTGTTGCAAATGGCAAGATTTCATTTTTTGACAGCTGTATAATATTCCATTGTGTATATATATAATATATATATAATATATATATATATAATATATATATATACCACCGCCTCTTTATCCATTCATCTGTTGATGGACATCTTGGCTCTTTCCATAGTTTGGCTATTGTGGACATTGTGAGCATGGCATAATCTTTGTGAATTTCCTAGGACCCAGAGTCTTGCTACACCCCAGAACTGCTCAGCATTAAGGAGGGTGAGTTACCTCATTTAGACTCCAAGAGACTGATGGGGTTTTTTTTTTTGAACATGAATTTTCACAAAATTATTCCTGTGCCTAAATTCAGATAATTGTTGAGAAAAGGTAGCCTAAAAAAAAAAAAACCAATATATGAATATGTCTTCACTTAAGTACATGCTCTCAAGAGAGTTAAAAAAAAAAAAAAGTGGAATTAGGGTCTCCAGAGCTTTAGGAGTCCATCCTCACTGTAGGTAGCAGTCAAACTCTGATGAGGCTGATGTGCGATACCAATCACATCTTTCTCGTGAACTGTCCCAGTTCTCTGCAGTTTGCCAGTGACTGTGTTAACATGGTAGAGCACAAAGTCCTCCCCTACACAGTAGATCCATTCACCACGGGGAGGGAGGGCGCAGCAAACAAAATCACCACCACCTCTCTTACCAGAGCTGAAGCTTCTGACAATCTGACCCTGTATGGTCATGATGACCACTGTATTTCATCTGTTTGCACACCACAAAGTGTTCTGGGTTTTTAGGAACCAGGATCACACTGTTGACTGTGGTATCTGTCCCTGCAGTGCTGCCCAGGATTTAAAGGTATTTGAATATTCTGTAGTCTTCATATTCCAGATCTTTACAGTGCCATCAGAAGATGCACTAATATAAGGTCCATCTTGTGTAAAAGTTGCTTCATTAACAAAGGAGGGATGGTCACAAAATTCCTTCAGGGTTTTCCCAGATTTTAAACCATGAATTCTAATTGTCTCATTAGAAGAGGCACTAAGGATATGACTACTGTCCTGAAAACAGGTGACACCTTTAGTGTGCTCAAAGGGAGTGGGGGGATTCTTGTCTTTAAAGATTTATTTTAGAAAGAGAGAGAGAACGCGAGTGAGCATGAGTGGGGGAGGGGCAGAGGGAGAGAATCCTCAAGGAGATTCCCTGCTGAGCATGGAGCCCGACTCAGGGGTCCCTCTCACAACCCTGAGATCATTACTAGAGCCAAAACTAAGAGTTGGTTGCACAACAGACTGAGCCACCCAGGTGCCCCAAGGGTAGTCTTTCTAATGACTCATGTCCCTTGTTCAGGGTCTCCTCCCCTAAATTAATCATCAAAGAAGGCTTCACAGATTCACAGCAATGGTGGAGATTTTTGGTTTTGAGTTTCCTTTCATCAAGACTGTGGTTAGGTCTGATGGGTTGCCTGGTTTTGGAGTATATCACTCCAGTACCAGGAAATTTCATCATTTCCTCCAGGAGATAGTACTGATAAACTCGGCCAACTTCTCCTTTTTTTTAACCATCAACATTTTAAAGTCTGAGGGCACCTGTTCTTTGTGTTCTCACAGTCTCCTTCCATTTGAGATACAGTTAGTCAAGTAGCTCCCTGCAACTAAGTGATGATAATGATTTTCCAGATCCACCTGCCTGAGATTATGCCCAGATTTCCTTGGCTGGAGTTTAGAGTGAACTCAAGCTCTACAACTGCATATTTACCCCCAGATTTACTCCCACAGATAAATAGAATGCCCTTTGTACACAGATTTTGCTAGTTAAACTCCCACTTGAACTTATTGCTAAGTTCCTCGGAGGCACCTCAGATTTGTTCATGTTTACTACCCACAAGCAATCACTTTGTGATGGTCCTCTGGTGTGTGAGGGGAAGGGGGAAAGGCACTAGAGGGCAGGAAAGTGGTAGAATGAGGAGCATCATTATTTAGCACCACTTGTTGGCTTTCCATTGTCTTTGGCTCATTTGTTTCAGATGCTTTGTACTCTTGTTGCACTATTATAATTACAGCACTTACTGTGTGATATTTGCTGTTAGTATCCATGCTTCTGTCTCTGCAAGTAGAATCATGGTTCTCAACCTTTTTTTCTTCTCAAACCCATTTGGAGGGATATGATACAGAGCCATCAGTAACAGTAGCTTACTTTGGCATCTTCCCCATCCTCTGACTCCCTTCTCCTTGTTAAAAACCATTGAACTACAGTGAAGTTGGGGACAGGATCATCTTTTATTCCAAGCACCTAATGTATGGCTGGGACACTACTGAATGAATAAGAGAATACCTGAGGCCACCAGCTGATTCAAGGGGGTGCCAGGGCTAGAACACTTAGGCAGTGTCATCTTCTAGAATGCCCCTCTCCAACTACTGCAATTTTTCTAATTTTGTCTCTGAGTATGATTTAATACTGTTGATTTTTTTTGAGAAGGATTTTTTTTAAAATTCACAAATAATAGATGAGTATTCTCATTTTAAAGGAGGCAAGCAGTAATTTCCATTAATTTTAAAATGTTTTATTCAACAGTTAATATTGATAAGATTTTAAAAAATAAAACCCCGTGTCAGAATAATAATTTTAGCTTTCACATCCATAATTATTTATTTATTGAGAATTTGAGCTTCATAGCTTTTATAGAGTTTTCATGGTTGGACCTCCCTCCCTTTCCAGAATGCTTTTAGGACTAGTGTAAAGTTATGTCTTCTAGCTAAGAAATGGAGAAAATTAAGACAATGTTCTGAATAATTAGGCACTGACAAATACTATTGGTGTTACGATTAATTTTGAAGAACACATTTATTCTTCATTAAAAAATTTAAAAATTTCCCTTTATTTTATACTCATTTAAATCAAGTTCTCATTCTGCTTTATTGCCATAGGCATTTTCAATTAATAAGATGTTTCAATTTTATCCTGGTGAGAAAATTTTATCCTGGTGGTTTTCTCCAGAAATGATGCATGTGATTTTTTTCTCAAATAATTTATTTTGTTGAGAACTGTTTCTTTTTTCCTATAATGATCTGTCAGATGAAATTTGGAGTCCTTTTTTTTTTTTTTTTTCAGAAATGAGTTATTGCTTTTACATTTGCTTTAACTCTAGATTACCCCACCATCTCCCTGTGGGATGAGATAGTCAGTAGCCTTTTTGTTCTAATTAATTCCATTAACAATATTGTATGTCTATCTTGTATCAGTAGGTACTTAACTTAGAGGAATAAGAGGCATAAGGGATGTGAAATACCATGGCACTTTGAGGAAATTAGGAGTCATTCCATTTGGCCATAGTGCTACGGCCTGAGGCAGAGACCAGATTATGGTCTCAGATCTATATGACTCATAGTACTTTATTTCTTGGTGGCTGGTGTACTTTTCATATTACATAGTGGAATGAATTATGGACAAATTAAATGATGACTGGGGCTGATGAAGTAATTGTAAAGGGATCTATGTGATGATAGCCAAAAATATAAAATAAGAGAAAAAAATTAAAAAAAAAAAGGATTCTTCCTTAAAACCCCCAGAGTCTATCACTGGAAATAGAGTTGTTTAAAAGAGATAGGAAACTAACTTTTGACTGATGACATTTTCAGTTCTCTCCTCAGCCTGCCTGCATTAACTTGGGGACAATGTGGGCCTGGGCACTGTGGATGTTCCTTCTACTCTGCAAATTCAGCCTGGCAGGTAGGTTGACAGGTGCCCTTTTACGGATTATGTGATTCTTACTAACTTCTTTGGACAAGAACTGAATCTGAGTGCAAAGGGACTCCTGGAGCTTGGGCATATGTGGATGAGCAAAAAGGGATTTGTGAACTCGCTGAATTTCTGTGGATGGGTGTGTGCATGTTGATGTATACATATGTGTCTGTAAATTTGGCAAGATGTCCTATCATATTTTCAGAGGGAGATATGACCCCCCAAAAGGCCCAGATCCACTGTTTTAGTGTGGTAGTAAGTTCTTATCTCAATAGTTTTTGTGTTAGGAGCAGTCGTTTCATGTAAAACACACACATAAAAACAAAAATATATGACTTTCACAGTATTTTCAATAATTTCCAAGGATATAAAGGGAAATGATGAAATAACACATTTTTACAATGGTCCAACTTAAGACTATGGGCCTAATATCCTAAAATCCTTGCAGATTTATTATCCATTACTTTGATTGCATCTTATATTAAAAAAAATAAAGACCAGAGAGGAAAAGTGGGGATTGGTTACTCGGAATGTAGAGAAGGCATCACGTCATGTACCAGTTTGCTAGGGCTCTCATTACTACACACTGAGTGGCTTAAAGAACAGAAATTTATTTTCTCATAGTTCTGGAGACTGGAAGTCCAAAATCAAAGTGTCCACAGTGTTGATTTCCTGACACCTGTCTCCTTGGTGCATAAATGACATTCCTCTTGATTCCTCTTCCATATTATGGTCATCCCTCTGTGTGTCCTAATCTCCTTCTCTTCTAAGAACGCCAGTCGGATTACATTAGGGCCTACCCTAATAGCCTCGGGTTAACTACTACCTCCTTAAAAACCCGTCTCCAACCGTCTCCAGATAGAGTCACTTTCTGAGGTAATGGGGGTTAGGGCTTCAACATATGAATTTGGCCATATATAATTAAGACTGTAACATGTAATAATTGGGGGTGACCAAGAGGCCGCCATAACCCACAGATAATGTCTTCCAGACCTCTCCCCTGGCTTGGCCTGCCTTGTAGCCCCCTAGGGTATACCTGTGGTGCTTAGGAGTTTTATAGACACTATGGGCAGGTAGGCCTATATCTCTCTGTCTCATCTAGCCTCTCCTGGCCAGCTCAGAAACCAAAAATTGGTCCCAGTTATGCAATTTACGGTTGAAGTTATATGCATCATGGCTCCTATCAACTCACCCTTCTGCTCAACTTACCTCTTCTGTCTTCTATCTCTGGCTTCTTCTTATTACCTTTTACTTATACCATGTCCTACAACAACTGGCTCCAGTTTCCACCTGACTTCCCTTTTAGAATATCCTTCCCTAGGTCTCGATCAGCCCTGTCCTTCTTCTCGTTTGAGACATTTTTCAAAACACTAATTTTGCAACAGCTCTAGGTGATATGAGCATATAGGGAAGAAGGGAAATCAAGAACAATGAATTTTGAAAAATGGTCTTTTTGCATGTGGGAAATTCTCTCATAAGCAAGAATATTCTCTTTATGTTTCTTAGAGGAAGGTTAATGAATATTTCCCCTTATTTCTAGATGTAGGAGAAATAGTAATTTTTAGAAACATAGGAATATAGTTATGGCTTTTTTTTTGAAGATGTGGGGGAAGGATAGATATGCACAAATGGTAAATCTATCCTTCAGGTGTCTATTTTTAAAAAATAAAAGTTCTGCGGGACACCTGGTTGGCTCAGTCGGTTAAATGTCAGCCTTTGGCTCAGGCCATGATCCCAGGGTCCTGGGATTGAGTCCTGCGTTGGGCTCCCTGCTCAGCAGGGAGCCTGCATCTCCCTCTGCCTGCTGCTCACTCTCACTCTCTCTCTCTGACAAATAAATAAATAAAATCTTTAAAAAAATAAATAAAAATAAAAATTCTGTTTTTGAATTGTTTTAGATTTATAGAAAACTTGTGAAGACAGTACAGATAGTTCTTGTATACTCCTCATCCTGTTTCCCCCATTGTTAATATCTTATAATACATTTGCCCAAACTAAGAAAGTGATATTGACACATTATTATAGACTAAATTCCAGACTTTATTTGGATTTCACTGGTTTTTTTCATTAATGTTCTCTGTTCCAAGATCGAATTCATGGTACCATATTGCATTGCATTATCATATCTCCCTAGTCTCATGTGGTCTGTGATAGTTTCTTAGTCTTTCCTTGTTTCTCATGAC